CACACAAAGAGATTTGTAACCTAAAACTACAAACCATAAAATTCAAAGACACACGAACAAGACAAGAGGAAAAATGAGTGCAATACAAAATATCTATGCTAAAAAAATGAACAAATGAGCCAGCAACAACTTTAAATACTCTAGGCATAAACCATGAATCATACATGGGAAAATCCAACTCACATTCATAACCTGAACCGAAATAAGATCTATGTGCTTTTGGAGAATGAAAGAAACGAGGCACAATCCTTCAACTTAACAAAACGAACACAACAAATCCTCCAACATAAACCTGCACAAAATACCCACAAATAACAAACAACTCGCAAACTAACGCTTTTATGACATCTTGAAATAACATAATACTTTTCAACAAGTAGCTTTGATATCTTGGAAAATTTGATTGTTACAACAATAAAAATCCACAAGTATTTATTAAACTCATTCCCAAATTTACAAAACTTCGTTTTTATTAGTTTAACATTACATAAAATAACAATTATAGCAAAAAGAATATATGTTCAAACTTTTTAAACTTACTTTTAAGGATGTTATAGTAATATCTACTAATATATATTGACTTTTAAAGGGGATAAGTAGTTCAAATGAGTTATAGAATTAAAACCTTGTAGGAAAGAATGATAAATGAATTTTCTAAAGGACCTTATAGTATTTCAAGAACCACCCATCAGTCAAACCCACCTATCATATTTGTTAGACATTATAACTCCTTGGATCACATTTAGAGACCATAAATACTGATTCTTCAATCCTTACTATGATCGACTTTTCCAATTCCACATGATGAATATATCTGTAACTCTTTCAAAAAACTATCAACGAGGTCAATACCATCACATAAAATAATGTAAATATCTTTGAAAGATTAACATTTCCAACCCATATATCCTCCTAAAATCCAGTTGTTAGCATGTTTTCCACTTTCATAACAAAGTAAGAATCAAGATCACCCTTTGGTGGTTATATTACTAAGAGAAGCGAGAATACCTTTCCAGTAGGAATTACATCTATAAGTTAGCATTAAAAAAACCTCCATGTTGATTGTAGCTAACTGTAATTACCAAGACTCATTTTGAGTTTTGTTACAAAGGAAAAATACATTTCCACTAGGAATTACATCTATATAAGTTAGCATTCAAAAAACCTCCATGTTGACTATGGCTAGCTTTAATTACCAAGACTCATTTTGAGTTTTGTTCACAAAGGAACCTCCACCAGTATTTTGCAAGCAAAGCCCAATTAGCTCCAAAGAGGCTACCGATGTCCAAACTGCCTTTATTGTTTTTATTATCAAAAAAGAAACCTTCCATTTAACATAATACATCTTCTTTTTATACCTTTCAGCACTTCAGGAGAATCTTATTCTAAGTCTTTCAAGAGAGTTAGTTACCTTTTGTGGGGATCTAAAGGAAGAAAAGTAGTAAGTGTAGAGAGTACCAAGCACATACTTACTGAAAGTTAGTTTTCCTCCTATCAACAATTCCTTGAATTTCCAACTTATGAGTTTGCCTTTGGAATACTTTTATATCATAGGATCCAAGATTTGCTTTTAGAGATTCAAGGTAATTTATCCCTTTTACAATGAATAATATTGGCCAAATCCTCTTGTCTCCTAGATCCCTATTCCAAAAACTAAAAGTTTTAAAAGTTTGCATTAGTTATGATTAATTTGAAGACCCAAGCCTAGATAGAAAAATCTAAGGATACATATAAATTTTTTTGTTCATTTTTCTCAATTCCAACAAAAAATGTATCATCATCAAAGCAAATGTGAGAGACGCTCCCTACTACCAATCTTGAAACCTTTGATTATACCTTGTATTTAGCTTCCCAAAAGGAAACTTTCAATCCTCCCATTATAAGAAAAATAGAAAAAGAGATAAGGCCACACTGTTTATAAGACCCTTATCTAATCTAAACTCATCAAACGAAGACCTATTTATGAGAATAAAAGTTGTGGAAAACGAAAATAAGCTCTAATATAAGCTCTCCACTTATCCTTTAAACTTATACCTAAAAGGATGGAGTCAAGGTAGCTCTAAGAAACCCAATCATAAGCTTTCGACAAATCAATATTAAAAAATATTAGCTTTTCTTGACACTATTGGCCCAAGGAATTAACTTATTTACAATATGAGGACCTTTTCAACATTTGTCTCCCTTTACTAAACATTGAATGAAACTAAAAAATGATAGACCTCATCATTATCTAAAGAGTATTAGCAAGAACTAGAATTTTTTTTTTGTAGAGACTTTCGTTTAAACTAATAGGGTGATAACTATATATGAAAGTTATGGCTTTAACTTTTAGGATACAAGAAGTATTTAGAACACATAGTATAGATACATTTTTTAAGGAAACCTACATACTTAACTTTAAATAATAAAATATGAAACCTTAAAACCTTAAAATAATTACATTTTTAAATGATATAATTAAGGTCTTTTTGAAAACCTTTGGATTAAACCATTCAGAACTCTAAATCATTAAATAGACCTATAAATCATTCAACATTCAAGGCGTTTGATATAACCTATGAACGACCTCCGAATGAATCCCCTACATTATGTAAAATAGTAAGAGGTTGGAACCATTCAACACTAATGATTCAGTTTTTTTAACACATCCCATGTTGATATAAACGAATCATATGAACACGAAAAGAGGCTCTTCATGTTTATTCCTTTAAGTTTATGAAATAAAGAATGAACACGAACGAGTTTTCTTGTGCATGTTCATTCATTTGACAAATTACATTTTTCATGTTTGTTCGTTTATGCTTGTGAACATGTTAAACGAACATAAAAGAACAGAGATAAACAAACATAATTAAGCATATATGAACATAAAAAATATAATTTAATAATGTAATCTGTCACACCCCTGGCCAACAATGTGACATATTGGTATCAGGAGCGGAGTTAGGATTTTAGGATAAGGGGGACTTACATCGTAATAAAAGATTAAAATATTGATTTTAGGATAAAGGGGGCTTACATCGTAATAAAAGATTAAAATATTTATATATCCGAATAACGTAATTGGGTCTGTAAAATTGATAAAGAAAAAAAAATCGTCTAAATATGGTGTACATCGATCTTTACAATAATCAATCTTCAAAATTTTTAAACAATTTTCGTTAAAAAATGTTTTCAAATGATTATAATCATCAATTTTCATCCATTAGCTATCTTAATTGTTTTGTCTTTGTTTCACAAAATAGAAATCATATATAATTTTATGTGTGGAAAATAAATAAAAAAGCTACTAGCTATACCCATATACAATTAATAACAATTTATGAACTTGAATTAAAATAAATAAACAAAAAGCAATCCGACAATTAAAATAAATGTGTGTGAAAGCAGTAAGATTTTAGTTAATATATGTAACACTTAATTTTAGTCATAATTATCAAACCTTTTATTTTCTTATATATTAATTGATTTTAAGAAAGAATAAAAGGGGTTGAGAACTATTAAAGTACAAAATTAACAATAGATGATGTGGACTTCTAATTATTCATGGGCTTTATATTTATTTATGCAGTTTGTTAGAATTAAAGTTTTACTTGAGAGATTAGGGGGGGGGGGGGGGGGCAAGCATCCGGTAGTCCCCCTATTGGCTCCGCCCATGATTGGTATTAGAGTTACATGTTATAACGAATTAGTAATTTCTTAGAAACTACGACTATAACCTATGGCATAAAACTCTGAATCAGTTAAACCTAATAAAACATATTATTATTTATTACCGTACGGATAGACTACTTAAGAGAGAGGTGCCTAGGCTGGAAAAATTTGTCATTTGGGTTGCTAGATTTCAGAACAACTATATGCAAAAATGGTCCCCCTACGACTTTTCCTACTTGGGCGATTCTTGTAGTCCTGAGGTACACAAACATAAAATTAATAAAATACCCTAATCAAACAATAATCAAATAAAGATTTATATAAGCTCTCATAAATACACTTGTATATTATAAAAATTATACATTCAAATCACAACTTAAGATTTTAGGTCAAAAGTGAATCCTAGGGTTAGTTTAGTACCGAAGCCATACCACAACGAGACCTAGAATGCACAACTAAGTTTTATTATGGTCCAACTGACGCACGCGTAAAACTGGATGTCGATGTTTACAATCTAAATGATTGATGATTTATGGATCAATATTTTAGTACGCCTAGTTTGAAGACTAGGACGATGCCTACCATTAGAGGATCTTCAGATCAGTAGCGTAGATCGACTTCCAGAAGACTAGAGCCTTAGATCAAGACCTAGTGCAAGAGGACGATACACCTTAAGGAAATCTGAAATAGAGACAAGCATATAACACACCACCCATATAGAAAGTTACCTAAGATACGGTTCTATCTACTCTTTCTCTCTCTCTCTCTTTCTATATATATATATATATATATATATATATATATATATATATATATATATATATATATGAAATTATATGTACTATAATAGGAAATTATATGTATTATATAGAGTAAATTACACGAATGGTCCCTATGGTTTGGGGTAATTTACGTGATTGGTTCCTAACTTATTTTTTTAACTCAGAAGGTCCCTGTTGTTTGTTTTTGTTACACGCTTGGTCCCCACTGTTTATTTTTATTACGTGTTTGGTCCCTATCTTAACTAAAAATACTATTATTTAAATAGGAAAAAATGTTAGGGTAGGTAAGGTAAGGTGAATGGGTGGGGTTAGGGTTGTGTATATTTAAATGAATTTAAAAAATCAAGGGCAAAATAGTCTTTTTAGGTAAGATAAGGACCAAGCGCGTAACAAAAACAAACAATAGGGACCTTCCGAGTTAAAAAAATATGTTAGGGACCAAACGCGCAAATTACACTAAACCATAAGAACCATTCGTGTAATTTACTCTATTATATATTATTTCTCATAAAGATCTACCTGTTTGATGTCTTAATCAGGAATCAGAGACGCTAAGGAGGACATATGGGACTGGGTCACATCCTTATTTGGAGAAAGATTAGGTGGTGCCACACACACCCGATACTGGGAGCGATTACTATCCGATGATGCCCCTACCACCTATCAGCTGACGAGGAGCCATTTGAAGATGAGGAAGAAACTAGTGAGGAAGAGCAGCTTGGTGATGAGATCGGTGGAGTACCTGCAGATAGTTCACCCTATCCAGATTCGTCTTCCCACCAGGAGACTCAGGAGAAGGACCTTACTGAGTCAGACTCATCCCCAGAGACTGTTTCGCCACTTCCTTCATCTTCTCTTAGTATTCATATCCCAGGACGCAAGATTACTATTGCCCCCAGAAAATCCATTCCTATCCCATCCCGCAAGAGGGCAACCTCCCCACCATCATCCCCGAATCCATCCAAGAAATCTTGCCCAACCCACAAGTGGACTAGTGGATCCAGTAGGATAATATTGGTTTCTATGATATTGTAGAGTCCTCCCAGGCACCGAGGTGCGATTCCATCCTACATGATCCCAAAAATCGTTCGATCTCAGTGTTAGTCCCGAATGTTGCACGACACGAGGATCACATACATCAGGGGAGGAGGATCAAGACTCGTTAAGGAAGGAGGTGAGGATGTTAGCTAATAGAGTTAGGGAATCAGAGAAGGGAAGAGATTACAAAGAAATGAGGATTCTCCACGCTTATGATAATATGGAGGAGACTCATTCTCTAGTACAGTACCAATAGATTGTGATTGAGAGTCTCGAGGAGTGCATGAGAGAGCCGGAATTGAGGTTGTTGGTGTCTGAGATAGGAGCGGCCACTATGAAGGTCATGATTGGTTGCCTACAACATCAATTAGCTTAGATTGTGGCCTGTATATTAGTCTATTTTAGGTTACGGTAAATAGTTCTAACCTAGGGAAGCTAGAGACTATGATTTTTTTTTTTGGGGGTTTGAGGGATGGAATAGTAGTGTAGCCGATAACGAGAAACCACCACCTATTTTGTGTAAAATATATACTATTCCTACTCAAACCACACTATTCTACACTCTTTTGTTCTTAAAAATCTATTGTACAAAGTTTGCGGAAAGTTAAAGAAAACTATGTGATCTTACTGTTTATTTTGTTGTTTGATTGCTTTGTTTTCTTGATATAGTTAACTCTTCTAACTAAAATATCAAAGTAAAACTCAAAAATAACAACTAACATATGCCTTAAATTTAGAATCATGCATCGCACTAAAAGGAACCTAGGGCCAATCAAAACCAATCCCGAGCCTATGAGCTCACCTACAATCGAGGCACTAGTGGCTCAACGCATAGTTGACGCTATGGCAAGCCTAGAAACCCCTAGGAACCTTGGATCAGGAGGTAATGGAGGTGAGAGTTCGTAGGGTTATAATCGAGGTCCAACTAGAGTTTCTTCATATAAATATTTTATGAACTATAAGCCGAAACCCTTCTATAGAAACGAAGGCGTAGTCGGGCTGGCTAGGTGGATGGAAAAGATGGAGTCTGTTTTCGAGATAAGCTTCTGTCCGGAGGACTGTAAAGTCATGTTTTCCTCCTGCACCCTGGAAGACGCAACTTTAAATTGGTTGAATAGTTACACCAAGACCATGGGCGTAAACGTAGCGAACACCATGTCTTGGAATGAGTAGAAGCAATTTATGGTTGGAGAATACTGTCCACGCGAAGAAATGCAGAAGATGGAGCAGGAGTTGTGGAATCTCACGATGCAAGAAGTTGATGTTGCCACCTACACAAGTCGTTTCAATGACCTTGCCACCTTATGTCCCCATATGGTTACCCTAGAAAAGAAGAAGATAGAAAGATATATTTGGGGTTTGCCTCAGCCTATCGAAGGCTTAGTTACCGCCTCAAAGCCAACTACCTTCAACAATGCTAAGAGACTATCCTTTAGTCTGACCCATCAATAGGTTCATCTTGGAACACTGGTTAAGATGGACGACCTTACGAAGGTGGAGGGTAGAAATAGAAAGTTTGGCAATGAGTCCAAGAAGAAGGATAAGCAACCAGCAGAGAAGAAGCAAGAAGTTATTAAGGCGTTTTCGGTTTCAAGACCCCCGACAGGGACTACCTATAGAAGTAGCCCTAGATGAAATGAGCGTGTGTTTCATCACAATGGAGCATGTTGGGTATGTACAACTGTGACAAGAAAGGTCATCTTGACAACATATGCAAAACCCCACCCAATCGAGGAATTGCAACCATAGATAGCCGAGCGTGCTATTAGTGTAAGGAGATTGGACATATCAAGAAGGATTGTCCAAAGTTGAGAGGCCAGTGAGATAATGCTAGAAGCACAAAATTTGTCATAGGAGCAAGAGGGGTTGTCTAAGACCCGAAGGTGGTGACGGGTATGTTCCTAATCAATAATTTATATGCAAATACACTATTTGATACTGGCACCGGTAGAAGCTATATTACTCCCAAATTTAGGAAATTATTAGATCACCCCTCTAGTAAAATTAGGGAAGCCTATAGGGTAGAAATGGATAACGGTCAAGTCGGTAGTGTTAAGGAAATACTTAGGAATTGTTCCTTATCATTAGTTAACCATTCTTTTCTCGACGACCTTATGCCAATGGTCATTGGAAGTTTCAATGTCATCGGTATGGACTGTCCTCTAACCATGTCGAGGTGCTATTTTTCGAGAAAGCCTTACCTTTACCCTACGAAACAGAGAACCCCTGATCATCGACAACTACAAACCCAGTAAAGACCTTAGGATCATCTCGTGCATGAAGGCTATAAAATACTTGCAGAAAAAGTATTCCGCATTCTTAGCGCATATTGTTGACAGGAAAGCCAATAAGTAGAAAAAGAATGAGGAAGTACCTCAGGTGTGCGATTCCCTGATGTATTCCCTAGAGATCTACCACGTCTAACACTAACTCGACAAGTAGAGTTTCGAATAGATCTAGTTCCAAAAGCTGCCTCGTAGCAAAGTATCCTGATAGATTAGCAGCCTCAAAGATGCAAGAGCTCTCCAACCAACTACAAGATCTTCTTGACAAGGGTTTCATTAGACCAAGCTTTTCGCCTTGGGAGCACCCATTGTTTTGTCAAGAAGAAGGACAGATCTTTTTCGAGTATGCATAGACTGTAGAGAGCTAAATAAGTTAACCACTAAGAATATATATCAACTACCCCGAATAGACGATCTCATCGATAAATTGCAAGGATCTGGTTACTTCTTTAAGATTGACGTGAGATCGAGATATCATCACCTTCGAGTCATGGAACAGGATATTCCAAGGATTGCTTTCTGGATACGCTATGGTCATTATGAGTTCTTGGTCATGCCCTTCGGATTAACCAATGCCCCAACTGTCTTTATGGATCTAATGAATCGACTGTGCAAGCTCTACTTGGAAAAAATCATGATTGTATTCATTGATGGTATTCTGGTGTACTCACAAACTAAGGAACAACATGGGCAACACCTTCGAGTGATACTAGAGCTTTTAAGGAAAGAAAAGTTTTACGCAAAATTCTCTAGGTTAAAATTTTGGATAAGAGAAGTCCACTTTCTTGGGCATGTAGTAAGCAGCAGAGGAATTCATTTCGACCCATCCAAGATAGAAGCGGTAAAGAATTAGGAAGCGCCCAAAACGCCAATAGAGGTGCGTCAATTCTTAGGACTGGCTGGCTATTACTGGAGATTTTTAGAAAACTTCTCTCGTATAGCCAAACCCCTCACAACATTAACCCAAAAGGAAGTAAAATTCATTTGGGGAGACCACCAGGAAACAACTTTCCAAAAGCTGAAGGAAATGTTGTGTAGTGCACCGATGCTATCCCTTCCAGAAGGCATTGATGACTTCATGGTATATTGTAAAACCCGACTCGTCAAGTCCAGGGAGGAACTCGGTGAGTCGGAGCAGGATCCAAGTGTAAAGTAAGTGACCGACTCGGCGAGTCGGCAAGTGGATTCGGCGAGTCTGGTCTGGGTTGGGAAACCCTAATTCCGGGACTTGGTACCCTATTTAAGCACCTTATTCTCTTCCCTAGGGCTCATTTGCGGACCCTATAGTCCAGAACCCAAAACCCTAGCCACCATAACCGTTTTTGGAGCAAGATCTACCCTTGGTGAAATAATTTGAAGCTTGGAAGAGAAGAGATTCATAGTGGTGCAAGAGGAGGCCTTAGATCCAGAGTTGGTGGAACTTTTTAGAACATTTGGAGGTAATGAATTGTTATCCTTGGCTTTTTCCTTTCTAGATCCATCTTTCATGGAGTTTTTGGGTTTCTTTGAGAGTATGTGATGAGAAATTGGTGCACTAGTTAGATCTGGAGTTGAAACTCCATATCTAAGCTCTATTTGGATCGAAAATGCAGAAAGCCCTATTAGTTGCTATGAAAAAGCCATTCCCCATGAGTTAAGTTCCTCTCTAGCTTGGTTTTTGGTATTATGAGACAAGAAGCACGTAAAGTTAGTAACTTTATGTTACTAATGGACTCTAGGAACCCATATCTATTGTTTGGACCAAAGGAGTAGCTCTGTGACTCGAGATTATGAGAATACACGTAAGGACTCGGCGAGTCGGGCTAGATACCAGACTTAAATCGTGTAGTAACTCGGCGAGTCACATGGGTCGACTCGACGAGTTGGATGAAGGTAGGCAGGAACTCAACGAGTTGGAAGAACAACTCGACGAGTCTGTTGAAGACTGCCTTAGACTCGGCGAGTCTGTTCTTGGACTCAACGAGTCAGGTTGCGAAACCCTAAACCCTTCTAGTTAAGGCTCAGATCAGTGAGTTGAGTGGAGACTCGGTGTGTTGAGCAGGACAGAACTCAAAAATCAGTAGACTCGGCGAGTCATGGTCTGACTCGGCGAGTCGAGTCGCGCATGAAAGGGGTTTCTAAGCTTATGAACTCGGCGAGTTAGTAGGCTAACTTGGCAAGTAGGGTCAACCTGGAAAGTTGACTTTGACCAAGACTTTGACTTTGACCAGAGTTGACTTAGTTTGACTGATTAAAGGGCAGTTTGGGACTAAGTGTTATATTTGGTATTAGTAGATCGGGGAGTGTTTGGAGCAGCAGTTCAAGAGTTGTCTGATAGCAGTCAGAAGGGTATCAGCAAGAACTTCAGCGGTGCAGGTGAGTTTCCTTCTAGTAGGAACGGGTTTAAGGCCACAATGCCGACCTGTTTAGCTAGTAGTAGTTTCTGGACTTCGGTCCGATGCAGTAGTTAGTATGTTTGATTCCTTCGTGGATCAGACAGGATTTATGTGTTATGTGTTCCGGGCTACGACCCGATGCAGTATGTGGTATATGTGTTCATGCTAGTTGATATGTTTATGCTATGCTATGTTCAGTTCGTTTCGGACTTCGATCCGATGCAGTTAGTCTGAACATTGGTCTGATGCAGGGGACAAGGTCCCAGTCAGTTTCTGGACTTCGGTCTGATGTAGGGGACAAGGTCCCATCCAGTTTCTGGATTTCGGTCCGATGTAG